TCTATGCCAATAATTTAAATGTTGGGAAATTGATTAGCAAATTATATAAGTTTTTAAATTTCACTAAAATGATTTTAAATAAAAGAAAATTAACACAATAAAATCATTAATTAATTACTAAAATAATATTTTTATTAAATCTAATTGTTACATCTAAAAACGAGATAAGTCAACCTTTGAAATTTTATTAATTAAAATTTCATCAGTCTTTCTTTATATGTATTATACTATCTTTTTTTACTTTATAGCTATGATATCCAATTATTTTAAAAGATTAAAAAAAAAATCCAGCAGAAATTATGTTTTTTTATGAATTGGATGTCATTTTCAACGCATTTACTCGAGGTTTTGCTTAAGGTTCGGTGGCTTTTAAAAGTTTTCACCAGTTGTTTGGCAAACAACAACGGAGCCATGGAGGTCCCCTGAACAAAATCCTGGCTCCGTCACGGAATATTATGGAAGGATTAGAGACAAGTTCTACTGCTATAGTTAACCGTTTTCGCTGCTGGCTTGAGATACCGCTAATACCAGGCATCCCAACTAAAGCATCTTTGATTTCATCCAGTTCAATCATTTGAAGAACTTCTGCTACAAATTCCTGCTAGATAAACAAGTTGACCAAAACATTGAAAAATGATTATCTTCAGACCTGTACTCCTTTTTATGTATGATAGTCTTGATTTTATTTTGTATGTCTTGTTTTTGCAACATCCGATAAGAATAGCTAAAGTTTTAAGAAACTTAACAGATTTTGTTTGTCTATCAATCTGAGCTGGCAGTCGTAACCATGCGGAGTATATCACTGATTCTTCAATAGTTATCTGGGGAGAATGTATGTCAATTTGCTCACAGTAGTTTGATATTCTACCATATGTTTCTTGGACGTTAGGGTACCCGCCACCTCTGATCTCTCGTTCTGTAATACCACCAGTCTTTCTTCCAGAAAAACATCCGTCGGTTTAGTTTTCCCAGCTCCACTAACACCCATCAAAGCCGTAAGAATTCCAGGCCTAAATGCACCAGTAAAATCTTGAAGAAGCTGTAGCATTTTTCTCTGGAAAACCTTGATCTCGCAGTTTCATTATTATTCATTCCAAGTATAACCGAACATCTGGGGACTAGGTAGTGATGAATAATGTAATTACCTTGGGAGTATCAGCAAAGTATTGCACGTTCTCAAACGTTAATGTTAAGGGCTTAAAAGGTAAAGCCATTCCTGTAATAAAAAGTTAGTCAGATTTGATACTGCATTTCCCAGAAACACTAGAAGCTAATCCATCTACTTTGTGAATCGAATAAAATCTCTCTGTACATTTACATAACATATTATCTAGTTTCTCACCTGTGGTTTTGCTATACGCTGCACTTTCCATAACGTCAACTGAAGGCAATTCTTTTTCCTCAGTTGCATTACCCAATTTATCTACCAGCTGCTTATGAGAAATGATAGTCTGGGATCTCCCTGGAGCTGCAATATTGAATTTTCACCAAACATAAGTTAATTAGAACAAGAGTAATTGAATGCAATACTTCACAATCAATTTTTTTTTCCATTTTTCAAATATCGGGAGGGCAGGAAATTAATTAACTTACATTCCAGAGAAGTCAGTGCCCAGGTGAAACCAATGTTGAAAATTATCCAGCACCCAAGCAATGCTCCAATTGATATCCAATAAAAGTAGTCACTGAAGTTCAGTTCGTGTTTTCACAGAACTTGATGTCCAATGGTAGTATTTAAAGATGAAACCTGTAATAGATGCTGTGATGTTACAGACTTGAGCTATCTCAATCTGTCTTTTGATTAATTATCAGTCACACAAAGTTTATTTCTCAAGTGATATGGTGTATATCGTCCAAACTAGTATTTAACAAAGAGTCGACAAGGAATTCCATTAATTTGAGTTGATGGCCTTATACTCTATTTGGTTATGATCTAAATATACTTCTTTGTATTTTTAAATAAAGGACCCAAAAACACAGTTGAAAAGTATTTGGTTTCTAGTTTTTCATAAACTTGGAGGGTCGTGCTCACTCAAACTCTTGGCCACGAATCCTCAAACTCAAATTGCAAGACACAGAGATATGCATGAGCTCAAGTTATCACCCCCAGTCTGAGGGTCAATCATTGGAGCAATATCTCAAGTGTTTCACTCACTATCAACCAAAGCAGTGGGCAGATTGGTTAGCTTGGGAAGAGTACAGTTATAAAACGACAGTCCATTCATCTTCCAAATTCTCTCCATTCGAAGCAGTATATGAGGTTCTTCCACCAACCCTGTTGTCATATGTACCAGGCACTATAAAAGCGCAAGCGGTCGATGAACACTCAAGGACTCGTGAGCAAATCTTAAAGGAATTGCACCAGAATTTGAAGAATGCCCAAAATCAGTATTGATCCTTGATTTTTCGGCCCCTACAAGGTGTTGGCACGTATTGGTACTGGTGCATATAAGCTAGTGTGATTTTTTGCATAAGAATAAGTCAGTCTGTTAGTTGCATTAGAATAGCTCCACATAGTTGATTAATTGCATTAGAATAGGCCCTTATTGTTGCATAAGAATAGGACTAGTAGTTGCATGTTTATCACCTAATTACTTGGCCAATTGGTTAGTGTAAAGCACTATAAAAGGCGCCGTTGGAATTAAATAAAGCATAAAATTATCCCACTAGCATTTGTCTCTCTCGACAATATTACTATACTTACAATGAAATCTTATAAAAATTTTCATACAAAGTGAGGTGTGAAAAAATTCTATTCATTTTTGGTCACGTCACATTGTATAGTAATTTTTGTAAAATTTCTTTATAAGTATAGTATTACTCCTTACATCTCTACTTTCTCTCTCCTTCTCTTCCAGCTCTCTGTTTAATTCATGTCAGATTGATAAAAGAGTAATGCTACACTTACACCATTTTTTTACACCATTTTGTAAACATTATGATGTGACATATACTACAACCACACAAATTCTATTATAATATTAAAAATTAAAAATAATTAAAAATTTTTATGGTTGTAACATATGCTACATCATAATATAATGAAAATTGTGTAAAAGAGTGATGTAAGTGTAGCATTACTCTTGATAGAAACTCACTCCGATAACTCAACAATTGCGTTGGGCCATGAGTCTTTCACGGGCTTGAGTAAAACTCTCCTTGAAAAACCGATTTACCAAGGGAGGGTGCCCAAGCCCTTATAACCCATGCTCACCCCTTTTCCTTCCAATGCGGGATGTAACATTCCACCACGCTTCCACAACCAACGTTCACGTCGGCCTCTTTACCCCCATTAGCCTCTTTACCCCTTGGGTGACTACACATATCCCCTTTCCCTCGGGCCTACATACTCTTCCTCAGGGTAGTGGCCCAAGGCCAAGGTCAGCCTATCATACGTGTGTTGTCACGTAGGCGTAGAATCATGCTCTGATACCAATTGATAAGAACCCACTCTAATAACTGTACAATTGGGCTAGGCCATGAGTCTTTCATTGGCTTGGGTAGAACTCTCCTTGGAAAACCTGCTTGCCAAGGGAGGGTGCCCAAGCTCTTGTAACCCACATATCCACCCCTTTTCCTTCCAATGTGGGATCCTAACGTTTATTCTAATGCAACTAAGAGACTGACTTATTCTTATGCAAAAAAACACACATGTTGGTATGTATCACATGCTTTGGCCATCAGCCAATATCTGTCTGAAAATCAACAAAATTATTCGCAATACTCTGTTGTTGATGATATGTTTTGAAGTTGAAGATCCTCACTCAACTCAGAAACTTCTTTATTGTATATATATTTTTTTTTTAAGGGCATTTAATCGGATGTCTTTTTAATTGTTAGTTTCTATCATAGCCAAACACATCAGTTTCTTGAAATTCCATTCGTTGTCTTGTTTTATTTAATAGTTTTAACTATTTTCAAGTTGTACTTAAAAATTAATCAAAGTATAAAACTTTAATTTCTGCAGTAACACAATATCCATCATAAATATTTAACAAAATAGAGTAAACAACTTTTTCCCACCCAAATAATGGCTTTATGACACTTTCCCACCAACAAACTTTTTAAAATACCATTTTACTACCCAGATTTATATTCTGTTTTTTATTCCAGCATCGTTGCGACCCCACCACCTCCATTTTCTTCCTCGATCATCACTCATCAAAACTCCTCAAACCCTACTTTCGCAGACCCCGCCAATCGTCGGCAATCAAATAATTAAGGTTTGCGCAATCGTTCCTCCCAAGTCAAATTCAGATCAAATCCAATCACCAAAATCCAACCTTATACCACCAAAAGACTCATCGGTCTTCCCTCTTCCAAAGCCCCAACAGTTTGGGTCAAGTTTACTCTTTGTTCGCCATTGGAATATAAATTTAGATAGTAAAGTGGTATTTTAAAAGTTTGTGGGTAAGAAAATGTTTTTAAGCCATTATTTGGGTGGGAAAAAGTCATTAACTCAACAAAATATATGCAATTTGTAAAATACAACATTAATGTTAGATTTGTAATCCTGAAAAAGAATTGATTACAATTAATAATTATAAGGTTATATCGAAGCCATGAACATGACATGTATATGATCTTACTCCAAATTGTATCACAAAATTGCTTTATAACTCTCAAACCCAAAACTCCATTCTTTTTATGTGCTCAAGTTGAAGAGCTTAGAGCTTGATTCTGTTGATGTTTGAGTGCAATTTAAAAAATAAAATGGAGAAAAGTTTTAATTTTTATTGCTTGTATGATATTAAGTTTTCATTTAGTTAAATATTTTATACAATTTCAATCTCTTTCTATCTAAATAACTTAGTTGTTTGGCAAATAATAATTCCTGATGACATTTATTTTAATTTTTAAGCTGCTTCTGTATTACTTTACCTTACTTATCTCCTTACTCATTTCAAACTCTCACCCATGGTTTCATAATATCATAACTCACCAGCGTCGGAAAGATAAAAGCAAAAACCTGAATAATGAAAAAGAGGGTAAAGAGGTAATAATGTAACTGTTGTATATGAGATAGTAAAGTACAATTATATTTTACAGTCAGATAATAACTCTAAACAGATACTACATTCTAATCAGAGTCTTAGAAATAAGTAATATGTTAAGCATTATAGAAACATCAATAGCACCTAAACATCCTCTAGAGAAGCCTGCACATGACATTGAAGTGAGCATGATATCCACAATCTAATGTGCACTGAAAAAGGCTGAACAGGACATGAGAATTCATGATACTTCAGCTTTGGGTGGCATCCATACCGACAAGGGGAAGGCCGAGGAAAAATTTGCCTTTGTCAACATGAATGTTAACTGCCTAAATAAACAAGAGAGTGATTACAATGGATCGATATCATTTCGAAGAGCAAGGTTGCTTCATGGTGGCTGTGGTGGGGAAAACAGTGCAAAATATAATCTTTTTAGGTGACTATTTAAGCCATTATTGTCTTCTTGAAAAATTTACCACCTTTTCTTCCCATGCCAGTTTCCATAAGACTTGAAGCAAGAAGAGATTTTGTGTCTGGCCTCCATTTCAGCTCTTTAAGGGTAGAGAACAAGGTTGAAAGTGCAGGAGAGACTTCACCATCCTTTATGTTCTTACATGACATCACACTCAGATTTTCAAGCCCCGTCCAGGAAAGAATCACATATTCTAGACCTTCTGTTGTTAGCAGTGAGCATCCTTCTAAAGATAAAAACCTTACTCTCCTGCAATGAAAGCAACATCAATAAACATTCCAATCAAACAACTCTGATATGTAGCTTATCTAGATCTTTACTATCATGGTCCCTAAAGTATTGAAAACTAAACAATGATTGTCAAACAACCATTAGATATAACCTTCTAACACTAAAATCGCACATTCAAATTTGCTTGAAATAGTCCAGTGGTAGTATTCTACCATAATTACATGGTATTGTTTATTCCAAATGTTGTAATATATATACAAGCAAATAAATTACATAGTTATTAAACTCAGGTGCAGGTTATCAATTTCAAGCTCAACTGCTTCATTATAGCAGTATGTACAAACTGCAATTAAACAGTATGAACTAATGATTCATTCACAATTACTTCCTTTTTCCATATATAAACAGCAAATTGTTCAGTGACAACATCAAATCTCCCGTACGTACAAGGATCTACTTCTCAAAATTGATTGTTATTTTAATAATGTCAACCCAAGAAGACAGACTTAGATATTCTTAAAAGCGTTCATGTGCAGGATATGTATTCAGTTACTCTGCATGTCACGACATAGGATTATGCTGTTATACACTGATGATTTTAGGATCCTTTCAACTTCCATTTTCCTTGATAACATTAACTAAAACAAGACATTGCATAGTGGTAAAGGTACCGAACACTATATTTGGAAATCCACCAGCTTGGAAGCATGGTGACAAAAGTAAACAAATAGATAAAGAGAACCCATTACCTGAAAACACTTGCAAAGCTGAAGATATCATTATCCAATCCCCAACAATCCTGAAACATAACTTCCCTAACAGCTTCACACACCCTGAACAGTGCTCTGACGCTCTTCTTATCCCTCAACTGACACTTTTGCAAATGCAACCGTTCAAGAGCCGCACAGTAACCCAAATACTCATCCGGCCCTGGACTAGGATCTATCCTTCTACATGACACAAACCTCAAAGTCTTCAAATTCTCACAATATGAAAGAGCGGCCAGCCACCCACCATCCATCCTATGATCAACAAACGTCAATTCCTCAAGCATTTGACAGCACTGCCCAATTGCTTTTATCCCATCAAAACTACCCTCGCAACTATTAAGCTCAAGCTTAACCAATCTCTTACACCCTTGAGCCAAAATTGTCAACCCAATATCCGAAACCAATGAACTGTAAAATCCATCCAAATTTCCAACCAATTTTAAGATTTGCAAATTCTCACATGCGGCAATTCCACGCAACAAGTTATCACTACACTTATGCAGCTCCAATTCTTGCAAAGTCAAACACTCCTCAGCTACACTCAACAATCCTAATTCACTAGCTCCAATCACCACAAGCCTACGCAGATTCGGGCACCCACTAGCAAGATTTGCTAGCCCTTTATCAATCATTTCAACAGGTAGCAACATGTTATGCTCATAAAACCTTGTAACCCAAGAATCAACATGGACAGAGAGCAACTTATGACTCAACAAAATACCCGAATTTCTAGGCGAAACAAGAGACGCATTTATCAAATCAACATTGGTTAAATTTGGGAATCTTAAAATCAACCTACCGGATTCAAGAAAGTCCCAATTCAACACCCTGAGTGAGCGTACAAGGCGACCCTGAAGATTCAACCAGCGTTTGCAAACAAGGGAATTAGCGTTACGCTGCGAAAGGGGAAGTTTTGAGAGGATTCTGAGGAGAATATCGTCAGATAACAAAAGGGTACGGTCAACTTTAGAGAAATTAGAGATTAGGGTTTTGTCCTTGTTGGAAAGTTTAGAGTTGGGTGTAGATAAAGATTGCTGAAGCTGCATAGTAAAGACAACAGGCTTCAAGGGTTTGGTGTTTTTGAGCCAGAGATTTGACCAGGTGGGAGCCCTCTTCTTCAGAGAGGTGTTGGGGCTAGAGTTTTCCTTAAGCTTCTCTTCTTCAAGAGACAACATCGTTTCAACAGAGGTTGATGAGCTGTGAAAGAAAGAAGATGAAGTTCATTTGTGGAAGTCCAAGTAGGAAGTGAAGGTTGACGTTGAAGTGTTTGTGTTTTGTGGTTAACGGACTTGTAAGGATGTTGGTGGTGGGGTAAGCAGTTTGAATGTTGAAATGAAGACGAAATAATTTGTTTTGATGGTTTTTGTCTTTATCCAAGGCTTTCAAATGTGGGGTGGGGCTGGTATTATTATTTGTTGAAGATTTTCATTTTTGAACAATTTTATTTGGGAATTTTGGAAAAAAAAAATTAAAATTAAAATAGTATCTTAGAGGGCACTTCATCATTTATTGGATGATTGAAGTTATAAATTTTGAAAACTACAAAAATGAAGAATATTTATAAAACATGTTTTCATTTTTTAAATATTTCAAGAATACAATTTTTTTAGATATGTTATTTATCACTAATTTTCTACAAGTGTTTTCCTTAATTGTTGAAATACATAAAACCATTTTTTTTTATTTTTTTTTAAATTATTCTAAAAAAGAATGATTTTAATCTGAAAATTTGTTGAACATTAGGTTCATTTAATTTCTTTGAACAAGTATGGAATTTGGATAAGGTGTGATTAATGATGATTGTCCTTTCTTCTTACATGGAAATTATAAATTTTCTCTGGCGAGCCACCTTGCAATCAGAGCTGCTCTACCACATTTATTATCATCTCAAAAAAATATTTTACCCTTTCTTTTCTTTTTTTCTTGTGTTACATATTAAAGTGTTTGGATGAACTTACACTAATCTCCTAAAATCTTAAAATAGTCAATTAAATAAAAATTTTAATAACCATCCCTATTAATGTCAAAAAATTATAATATTAAAAAATATTCTATTCTTTCGTTTTTTTTTTTTTTTTTAATCATCGAAAATATTTGAATCAACTTACGTACATTTCAATTTATCCCCCAAAGCTCTGAAACTATTAACCAAATAAAAACTCTAGTGGTTAACCTATTAGTGCTTTGAGGGATTTAACTCATAAAACCTTATTTTACCCTTTTACTATTAGACCATCCAATGGTAGTTTATTCTACTCTTTCTAATGCCAATAAAATTGCTTAGGAATTAGGACATCTCCCCATCTTTTATATATTAATAAGTATATATACTGGAGATTTATTTTTATTATATTTAAATAATCAACTCTTTTTAAATTCGTTAAAAAGTTTGTGAAAAATATTAAAATGTAAATATTAACAAACTTTGTCTTTAATAACACAACTGTTGATCTTAGTTTAGATAATATCAGGGCCCACTGAAATAGCCGTTAGAGATAGCCGTTCAGAATTCAAAATTGTTCTTTTGTAAGTGGGGGATGGGGGCGGAAGGAAAGCATAGAAAAATTCCCCCAATAAAGCTATTTATCTGCCCTATCTATTAACACTTGGATCCATGAATTCTATTCTATCCATGCCAAACTTTACTTTTTTATGGAATTTAGGAACACCTTGGAAATTATATTAGAGATTTTATAATAATTTTAAAGATTATTCAGTTTAATTATTAAAAACAATTGTAAAAGAGCATATAAATATTTCAAGAATAACCCCAAAATTAAGCCAATTTTTAGTTCTATCAAAGAGTTAAATGACGATTAAATTTGGTAAACCATAAATGAAGACATGGATGTTAAAATAAGAAAAGAAAAAAGAAAGAAGAGAAGACTTTGCTGTCCACGTTTGAGTGTTGGATTTGGTGGGCGATATACAGACAAGAATCGATCTAATAAGATAGTCTAATTGAAGTCTCGTTGGGATATCAAAAAAAGCTGCTAGTTGGAATTAGGTCACCAACACAACTAGTACATAATAATATAATGATACAAGCCAGGGAAGGGAACCCACTATTCTTAGCTGGCCTTCTTTGGGAAATTCAAACAAATAGCTGTTTTTGCTCACCTGTTTCATAGCTAATAAATAGCTTAGCTCCATGCTCTGCCAAATTTATTATACATTTCAGTGCTCACATGTATTAGCTACTTGGTTTGGTTGGGTATACTTATGGTGCTTTGACTCAAATTTCAACTCCCAGAAAAGAGAAACAAGGACATGTGATGTGATGTGATGTGATGTGATACATATCAGAGAAGAGAAGTACTCACAGTTTGTCTCACCCAAACATCTAATATATTCAACTCCAGTGAGCTTCCCACAATTATGTTTGCTTCCATTCTGAAATGAGAAAAGAAAACGACATTGAGAAATAATTAGAAATTGTCAATCCTTGTTTTCATCTTATTTTCTGTTGTAATAATAAAGTTAAAACTATGTTGCTATAAAACATGGATGTGCTAACACTTTCGGAGCATCGTTAAACTGATGCCCTACACTTGCACAACTTAGAATTATAAGAAACTTTGCTGACAAGGTCGATGACTAATAAACCAAACTCCATTGAATAGATAAACAGGATTTACAATAATCACCATTCAAATGTTAAACTGCATAGAGGACCAAAAGAAAATTCAACCTTGAAGAATTAATACATAACACTCATATTCCATAAGTAACACCTTACCCCTATTTAATGAAAATGCCCCTATAATATTAACAGATGATTTAAGGACGAGGAGCTGCCATCTGCTGCTTCTTTATCTTCTGCCCTTGCTTTACTAGGCTGTATCGAAAAGCGTCAAAGATGTAATCAAAGTTAATCTGCAACCTTCTTTTTATTCCATTCATTAAAAAATAGAAACCCATTTCATGAATGATACCTAGCAATGTAGCTTATAAAACTCGACACGAGAAACTTAGTTTTAACTGAATCAAAATGGATTCAGCAGCCCAAAGTACGTTCAAAATATTTAATACATGGTTAACAATGTCTTACCAATGATTATTGCAAAATCAAACATAATGGTAGTGAGTCATGGATGCAAATTGCAAGTACATAGGAGTGAGAGATTCCCACATATTGACCAATAAAGGTGAGATTAGACCAATTCTAGACCATTACATATTATATCTAGTAATTGTATATTCTTTTAAGGGTTGACAAAAGGCTTTGCTCAGTATTAAATTGACTGCCTAACAAGTTGTCATCAAGATAATAAGGAGAATCAGGGGTGCACTAACTTTTGCAAAAGCTTAGCCAGAACCCAACCTGAATAACATGACTAATCATGAAAATAGCAAATAAAGCAGAACATTAAACAAAAATGCTTTTAGATGTCAAACCTATAGAAGCAACAAAGAAATAAAATGGAGGACATGACAAAAGAATTAGATAGTCTGTAGATAAATCCATGAGTTAAATCAAATGGGATCAATTTCTAAATGCAAGGCAACTAGATGTATTCCAAAATGAAGTTAGATATCATTCCTTCAATTAGATATATTCCAAAATGAAGTTGGATAGAATTCTTTCAATATAGAAGCAACAAAGAAATAAAATGTGCTTTTCTTGATTATAATACTAGTTTTCCGCAAATGAGCTTTGCATTAGTCAAATCCAGCTTTGGAAATAAGGTAGTAAACAAGTTATTTTATGTTCTTGAATTTGTAAAATAGGACAGTTTTGAGATAGTTACTCATGACCCATCACCTTCTCATTTCCTCATTCATGCAGCAACATCAACAAAAATCAGACTGTAATTCCATGCTATCAAACAAATACCCTAACTTTAACCATCATAAGTTAACACTGAAATTGAATACAAAAAAAGGAACTGGGTTTGCTATCCTTCGGGCAGGTTGAAAGTACATGTACAGCAACCAGTTGTGGTTCAATTTGGCTAATTTGTAATGTAACCTTTATTCTTAATCTACTGTTGCCTCATTACAGGCCCTATCCTACCCCGTAACTTTCTAATCTATGCTGTGATTTCGCATGAGTCCCCACACCAAATGCAGAGTCAGCTAAATATTGTCAATTTGATGAAAGACAGATGGGCATTGTATCATCAATATATGCACCGCAAAGTCAAATTAAACTTTTTCCACATTATAACCATTACCTGATATCATGAGGTGTTATAAATATCCATTGCGATCCTTGGGCCAATGCAAAATCAACCAATGTATCAAGGCTGATTTTCCGACTAACAGCATCCTGGAGACCAAATGCTATGCATTAATATTCATGCTTTTATATTCTAACATGACACCGAAAAACCTAGTTCCTAGCTACCTGACCTTATCAAGCATAAAAACTACATACCTTTCAAATTAAACAGACAGATAGCTGCAGTTTATATTAAACCTTACCATAAACACATCAAACTCATCCATTGCTCGAAATGGAGCTTCAGTCATGTCATGAAGAGCCAATGCGAAGCACAATGTTGAAAATGAGCGTTCCCCACCTAAATAGCAAGCAATTAAAAGTAATAAAAACTCAAATATAAAAGCTTAAGTTAGTAGGTGAAAAAGAAAAAAAAAACCAAAAATACAAGTAGCCTTATCAATTTATATACTTCACTACTAATGAGGGAAACCTTTTTAGGGATAAGAAACTGTTAACCTTTGTTAAAGAAGAGATTGATAGGGACGTCAAAGGATTAGAAATCCACAAAGATATTTAAAAAAAAATCAGAGATGGAGCACAACTAATATGACATTATAGACCTCTGAAGTAGCTTTTGACTCTTAAGTATATCTTAGGGTGCGTTTGTTTCCCTGTTTTTGTCCTATCCTATTCATATTATTTCCAAAATACACATTTGTTTCCCTATTATGAAAATATTATTATATTTTATTCAATTTATTTTAAACCCCCTAAGTTTGTTAATTTAACTAAACACCCCAAAAAAAAGTTTAGAAATTGACAAAAACACCCCCACCCACCCACATTTACCAAATTCTGACCACCACGGCCTAAAGGTGGCCGAAATCTAGTATAATGGCGCACTACTGGCTAGATCTGGCCGGTAGTGCGATGATCTAGCCTTTTTCGGCCAAATCCACAGTGGATCTGATCGGAAAAGTCAGATCTACAACGGCTAGATCTTTGGCCGTAACTAGTCGTCAACGACGGCCAAGATATGGCCATCGTTGAGGACCAAACGCTGCCAGATCTGGCCTTCAATGACCGGATCTAGCCGTAGATTTGGC